GCTCAACTTACAAAGCATTGGACAAAGAAGTGAAGAAGAGTGCTAGGAAGGACAAAAGACGATTCTACGACAACCTGGCCACTGAAGCTGAGAAGGCAGCAGGCAAAAGGGACCTGAGGACACTATATCAGATAACCAAATCTCTATCCGGGAAGAGATCAACACAAGCGAAACCTATAAAAGACAGCCAAGGGAACCCAATTACCAAGGAAGAAAAACAGATTAAACAATGGGCGGATCACTTCAAAGGACTCTTGAACCGACCATCACCTGCAACCCGTCCAGAAATACCAACAACAGCGCGCACACAACTGCAAGTTGACACCAATCCTCCAACGAGAGCTGAAGTCTTGAACGCAATCAAGCTTCTGAAAGCTGGAAAAGCAGCCGGACCAGATGGAATACCCCCTGAAGCACTGAAAGCCGACCCAGAGACGACAGCAGACATGCTGACTCCATTATTGCAAAAGGTCTGGAAGGAGGGAAAGGTGCCTACTGACTGGAGGAAAGGTTACCTCGTGAAACTACCAAAGAAGGGCGACTTAGGACTCTGCAAGAACTGGCGAGGAATCATGCTCCTATCGACGCCAAGTAAAATCCTGAGTCGCATCATCCTGGAGAGATTAAAGGACGCACTGGAGACAGAACTCCGACCAGAACAAGCTGGATTCAGGAAAGGCAAATCATGTACTGACCAAATTGCAACTCTACGCATCATCATCACAGAACAAAGCATGGAATGGCAATCAAACCTCTACCTCAACTTTATAGACTTTGAGAAGGCCTTCGACAGCGTTGATCGTGAAGTAATTTGGAAATTACTCGAGTACTATGGCGTACCCCAAATATTCATCAACCTTATTCAACAGCTGTACGACAACGGCACATGTCAAGTGATCCACAACGGAAAACTCAGCGAGGCGTTTGGAGTAAACACAGGAGTCAGACAAGGGTGCTTATTATCACCAATGATATTCCTAATTGTGGTGGACTGACTGGATTATGCGTCAGACAGTGGGAAACGAGAAGACAGGAATATCCTGGACCGACGTGAAGAACCTAGAAGACCTGGATTTCGGCGTGGATGATTTATGTTTGATGTCACACACAATCGAAGACTTACAAGCGAAAACCGACAAACTGGTCGAAGAAGCAGCAAAGACAGGACTCCAGGTAAACATAGACAAGACGGAGGTTATGAAAATAACCAACCAACAACAGCAACACATCCAACGTCAATCACCATCAACGGGAGGGATTTGAAAGAGGTTACTTCATTCACTTATCTAGGGAGCATTGTCTCAACTACAGGAGGAGCGGACGAGGATGTCAAATCGAACGAGAATCGGGAAGGCGAGAAACACATTCATCAACCTGAAATCAATCTGGAAATCTTCGTCACTCAGCATCACCAACAAAATTCGGATTTTCAATACAAACGTAAAGTCAGTCAGTTCTTCTATACGGATCAGAAACTTGGCGGGTCACAAAGAATATTTCCAAAAGGTTGCAGACCTTTATTAACAACTGTCTTCGCTCTATACTGAAGATCAGATGGCCGGCCGGAAAGAATCACCAACAAGGAATTATGGGAACAAACAAAGCAAGAACCAATCGCCCAACAAATATGCAGGAGAAAGTGGAGATGGATCGGACACTCGCTGAGGAGACCGCTGGGTGACATCGCGCGTCAAGCCCTCGAGTGGAACCCGAAAGGGAAGCGGCGTGTGGGACGTCAGTGCAAGGGTGACATGGAGGAGATCGTGTGAAGAGGAGTTGAAAGAGTATGGACTAACATGGATGCAGGCGAAAAGTACAGCAGAGGACAGAAGCAAATGGAGACGTGCAGTTGAAGCTCTATGTTCAACTAGGAACCCAAGGGAGCAATAATAATGATAATAATGTGCAAATGTGGTGATCAGATTGTTCGCAGGAAGGATTTTCCAAAGAATAGCTTCGTTACATGCTGTTCAGCAAATAGAGAATATTCTTTGGAGTAATTTCATCTGATTCTGCTGTTAAATACCCGTAATAATTAAAAATTTATTGTTATTAACTAGAATACTATTCTTCAAAATAACGTGGTATTGATAATATGGATAGATTGCAGTTCGATAGCATTTGTGAGTGATAATATACTCCAGTAAAACATCAAACCGAATATCAGACAAAAATTAAGAATAACAATAAAGTACTGAAGGAAATGTGGGCTCCAAAACAGGCTACAGTACACGAGGTTCCAGTGATATTAAGTGAACTGCAATAGCTTCCACTGTTTGCAGTGGTTAATATTTCGTGTCGCTTTGTAATTTATTCGATACAAGACAGATGATAGCGAAAAACTGTTCAGTGCTAGCTTTTTTACTAGAAATGGACTTTGTTTGACCCTTGTCTAAGCATGTAGGATGGTATTTGGAAATTCAACGACACACGCGAGCAATTCTACGCTCTGGCTTCATAGGAGGAGTGAGTTTGGTGGATTCACATAGAAGAGGTAAAATAATTTTGTTTACTTTTAATTCCCGAAAGAAAAACAGGGGTGGTTTTGAAGAGACAGTTTACTTCATCGGCGCTCAGTGCTCTTTGGGCGTTGTGTTATCATTTCATTGGTATTATCTCTGAGCAACTGAAGTCTTATGAATAAGGCATTTTACAGAAATGTTGGCACTTTGATTTGTCTTGGCTTTAGATTCATATTCTTTGTAATGAATTCCTCGGGGTAGCCGTTTTCCCTTAGTAACTGCCAATGACGACTATTCTAGAATATCCTATGCATATAATTATTTTAAATTTAACTTTTAATTATTATTATTATAGCTTGATTCCACACTATATTTTTGGTACAACTACGGAAATTTCAGTATGTGATATCGGTAGCCCAAATTTTGCAATCCGAATATTTATATCAAGTGTGTGTCAACCTGAGATCTAACTCTGAGCAATTCACATAAGAATACTCTGTCCAAAGACACAGCTGGAAAAAGTGAGATAAGGCTGATTGCATTGTGCCCCCTGACGTAAATCTTTAGTAAAAGGCGAAAGATTTATCTGCAATTGAGGAGAACCCGGAGTTGTATATATATATATATGCATATATAATTATAGGGCCTGAAGAGGAATTTATCAAAATGAATATTCTTCTCTCAAACTTTCTAATGTCTTCTAAACCTTATTTAGCTGTTGTCAAGGTACTTAGCTCTAAGTTCCTATTATTTGTGAAGACGCTCCGAACCGATAATTACTATGACTGTTTCTCGACTTTAACTCTAAAACACCAGTGCTTGTAAGAAAGAAGTTGTATTGTTGTCAGTTAAAATCAAGTTTAGTTCAAATTCTGTAAGCAAATGTTTTACAATAAATATAATGTACTTTTATTCGTATTCTTTCGTCTTATTCTAACTTTTACACGATTGAACCATTTGCACCTTCGGGTTGCCCACCAATGACTACCAGTTCCAATAAACAAACGTTCAATGTTCGCGTTCATTTACAGCTGTACTTTCTTTATTTCGGACACTGTCTAATATTTCAGTCTGATGTTTACCGCAGTTGACAATGTCGCAATTGTAAATCTATTGTTGTTTAAGTAAATTACGTTGTTCACCACTACAAATAATATCTGTTTTCAGCGGAAACACACTTGATTTAGACGGTCTATAGTATTTCAGAGATAATTAGCGGTGAAATCCAGAATGAGAATTTCGTCCTATTTAGGACTCGTCACATCTGGATATACCTGAGTTCTTACTAGTTTGACCACGGATCGATATCAGTTAGAGAACCATTGAAAACCAGCTGGGAGTACTGGACAACGGTTTCATCCTAGTTTAGGGATCATTGCCAGGATGCACCCACCGTCAGGGTTCGAACCCATGATGTTACGGCTACAAGGCAAGCTCGCAAACCATTTAGACATTAGAATCTGATTCAGTGGCCCACGAATTGTACCAATTCGTGATTTAGGGGGACCACAAACCTGTGTCCTCCAGTGAATGATGGTTTACTCAGTGAAACTCAAGCCCAGTACCCACTGTTTAAAATGTCCGGACTACTTGTGCAACAGCCATCAGTCAATACTATTATTATTTCATGTTAACCAAGCTTTCAGAGTTATTTACCGGATACCAACAAATCTCAACTCCGCCTTAAGTGTTCAATTACTAAAATATTGCTGAGCCTGTTGGGATCCACATTAAAAAGCCTAATTTGTGCGTCCAAAAAATGTTAGTCCAAACACTGTCCTTACCTTGGCCATCTAGGTTTGAATGATCTTCAATTTTTGTTGAAATTTACTAATTTTAGTTGATATTCTATTTGCTATTATTTCTTTATTACTATTATAATTTAAGTATTTTTAGTGAACTGTAATTGCATTGATCATACTTTACAAATCGATATTATTTAAAAAAACAGCAATATTGTTATTAACCACCAAACTTAAATATTTTGTGTATATAGACATGTATTTAATTGTAGAGCCGGAAGAGGAACTTATGGAAAAGAATATTTTTTGCTCAATTATTTTGTGTATTATTTATTTAATTCCAAATATTAACGAAGGACATAATGATTTTCAACTTGATATGAAAGTCTGAAGGTACAAATATAGGTTACATGGGGCTTTGATACAATAATACGTAGGATTCGAAAGCAGCTACAACGTATGCAAAATTAATTTTTGATAACTGGAGGAATAATCTCAAAGGTGAATAAAAGAAGACAATTATTTCCAACTTGAAATGAATTACAAGAGGCTTAGAAACAAAAATTACGCAGGGATAGAACTAATTACAGGTGTGATAAAAATAGGCATTTTCCACGATTTAATAAATAGTCATTTCTCATTTTTCAAAAGGTCACAAAATGTTATTTTAATATTTTTTATCGAATGATTTCATGTGTAATTTCATGAGTCACATGAAAAGTAAAAAACAGTCTTTTCACTTTATAAGACATATAGATATATATGTATGTTATTCTTAATATTTATTTTCCAATAGATTGAAATGTTCCAAAAAGTCTGTCGTGGTCTATCCATCGATTGTAATGAAATGAAATTCTATGAAGGCAAACCAGGACCTCCAGGTAAATAATTTATACATTTAGAATAAATATTAGTTTACCTATACACTGTCAAGTTTAGTTTTGACTTTGCAGGTCATGATACTTGTAGATAAAGAGTCAATTTTTGTCCACACTATCTGTGTACAATTTATAGTATCGAATGTAAGTCATATCTTTACGTCAACGTCTTCAACCTCAAAAAGACTTTTGACAGCATTGATCACAAAGTAACTCGAAAACTACCTGAGAACTATGGAGTGTCAAAACCTTATTCAATAGCTGGCTTTATGACAGCGCCACATATCAAGGGATCGACAATGGAAAACCCCCTTTGAAGACTTTGAAGGAAGACAGGAGAAAGACAAAAGCGAACTAACTAATACCACTGATAATATTCCTAGGAGAAATAGACCCGGATATTGCGAGGAGAAGGAGAATACAGAAATATTTTGGACAGATAGGAAGATTCCAACAGATCTGGGTTTCGCGGATGACGGATGCCTAATGTCACACAAACTCGAAGAAAAACAGGAGAAAAGCAAGTTTACAAAAGAAACAGCTAAGGACAGGACTTCCAGTAAACGTAGAGGAGACAGAGGTGATGAAGAATGACCAATCACTCAACAGAAACAAACACAGATCATTATAGACGGAAAATAATTTGATGAAAGAGATCATAAGCTTCCCTGATCAAGGTGGAATTGATTCAACTACAGGAAACTAGCACGGATAAGCATCGGACAGGCAAGACAGAACTTCATCACTCTGAAATTATCTCGTGAATCTTCTGCACCCAACTTGTACAAGGAACAATGTTCGGATATTCAACACCAATATCAAGCCACTCGGTACCCTTGTATGCGCCTGAAACTTACCGTTCACATCATGAAATGCACTTACAACAAGCTAGTGCAGACTTTCATTAAACGGCTGCCTTTTTTGACCCCATACGAAAAATCAGAGTGCTGTTCAGAAAATATTATTGACAAGAAGCCTTGAGAAGGTACTAGTCGGGAATCTGTTGCTTGAAAAATGTGCTAAAGAAAATGTAAGTGGATTGGACACACCATAAGGAGACTGTGGAATGTCACTGAGCGACAGGCCATCGCTCGACTAGAAGGTGAACGGGAAACGACCGGTTCGGCATGGATTAGAAGAAGACATGGAGGAGATTGCTTGAGGAGGAAATGAAAGCCTATGAACAATTTTTGAGCTAACTGAAGAGAATCACGGAGAACAGGACAAGGTGTTGATGTGCTGTTGAATCGCTCTGTTCCACTCGGCATCCAGGAGAATAGTAATTATATAATATAATAATACAGGTAAACAAAGAGATAGCGTACAACAAAATCTTTCTTCAAATGTTTGTTCGCGCCTCACTAAAGACCAAAATTACAAATGTCTACTTTCCACTGACAGTATTATTATTTCATGGTGAAATCCTGAAGCCAATCTAATCCCTTCAGACCAACACTTGAATATCGATATGATGCTCACTTGTTACTGTCCCTAGTCAGGCTGGAAGTTACCAAACTTCTAGTAGAAATTCATGACCAGTAGGGTACAGCCAGTCGAGTGTAAAGAGAAATACTCGCCTCAGATGATATTCGCTGGTGGTCGCGCCATATCATGAATTTGCAGAAGTTGGAATTCTTTGACCACTGGACAGTGTCCCGGAGGTTGAATGGCCTACCACCTGGCCTTGTAACCATAAGCTGCTGAGTTCAAATCTCACGGGGTGTGTACTGATGAAGAGTCTGAAACTAGGGTGAAACACCTATCCAGTAATCTTAGATGCTTTTCCAGTTGTCCTCTAACCAGCGTCAGTTCATAATGAAATCCTGAAGTATTATTATTTCCCTGACTTTCATGTAGAATGTAGGGCTTTAATTTTGTAGCTGGCCTCAAAATCTCATTCTTGTATCCATGTCCATTTCTGGTGCACACATAGCCTGTGATGTAATTCAGCAGTATCCTCGGGGTATTATGTCTATTCTATCCCCATTTCTTTCTGGATATGTTTCAGGCTACAGATTCTTGATTAACTGATCACCGGAGCTCCTTATCGAGTATCTTTTACATCTCCAGTGTGGAATGAAGGAGGCGCTGGTTGAAAATGTTTGTTGGAAATGTTTATGCTGATACACCAAGTGTCCTGACTACTTGATATTTAAGTATAGCAAAAATTTTGAAAATTCTCTTGGGTGTAGAAATTTTCACAATAAATCGAAAGCAGGTGAAAAGTTCACCGGGTTTATTTATTCATTTCTTCATCCCTTATTGATATTAAAATTGACATGAAAAAGATAAATTGCTTCAGATATATATATATATATATATATATATATATATATATATATATATATATATAAATTATACAGATAAACATGAATATACATAGAGGTATTGTAATTCAATTAAACCAGTGTATGTGTATATAATTTATGTTAATAAGTTTAGAAAAGTTGAGAAGGATTGTGAAGAATAAATTTATTTTCCATCCTTTTCAATAGGTTATTTAGCTAGTTAGTCAGTTAGTTAGTTTAATGCCCTCCCTCCCAACTAATTGATTTAGACGAATAAAGACACTGTTTTTAATAGATTTATTTCTACTCCTCTTTCAGTATAAGCCTCTTAATGTTTGAGATGAAAAACAATGACAGGCAGGTTTAAGTGTCACTAAATGACATCAGTCAGGGAACTGTTGGAAATTAGAATGCACCGAACATCTGTTTTGTTCTCCTATTTTTAAACTCCACAGCATTATGTACTCACAACAGAATCAGGAAAGAAATCCAGATCGCTTTGAGTTCCGAGTGAAACTTAAGGCTTCAAGGTCGAATTTCAGTAGCAGTTGTGTTCGTTTTTTCTATGAAGTGAGGATGATAACCATACGCTTATGCTTCTTGTCTTTACTAATTATACTACCTTCCAAGCGGAGATTAAGAATGAGTAGAGTGGGAATCGAACCCAAACCACAAACACGATTTGCAAAAAATCTACCAGTGAATCACTGAAGTACATGATCATTTATGTGCCAGAACCTATGGTACTGCGTAGTTCCACACTATGGCCTCCATATAGATAGGCTTAAGGAATATGCCACTAGACGAAGCCTGCCTGGTAAATAATAATGTTTGACTAGATAACTTGTCTAATATAAGGTGAACTAAACCCTTTGGATTCAATGAACATGTGCAACAGGGATGCTTCAATGCCAGTTAAATGTATATTTTTAAAGTTATTGTTAGTAAAATCAAAAAAAAATATTGGGAATATATAAACAAAGTAAGAAGTTTATGTGACAGTATGATGGGCAGTAATAAATTTTACTCAAAAAGTTATCATCGTACTTTGATTGGACACTAAAAGGTAGCTGGTGTTATGTTTTTAGTCCTTTATTTGGTGGAGACTGAATTCTGTCAGTGAGGTTCGCAATGTGACCACCATCCTGTGCATGTTGATTTGATGATATTAGATGGTTGGAGGCAATCGGCAGGAAGCCTCGACTACACCTAGGTTTCGTGCTACTTGGCACTTACCAGTCTGCAGGGCGAATCTGAGAAACTGAAAGAGCTCATATACCTCCTAAGATTTGAATCCATGTAGTCCAGTGCTGCAATCAGAGATGTCATCACTTAATCGTTCTAACCTCAACAATTAGAAATAAGCCGTGGTGGCTAGCTCCTTAGAATGGTGACCCCATTTCATACTTGACTGATGGAATTCAGTCAGCAATTAACAAAGGATTAGACACATGGCACTAGTTGGTAAATAGTGTTCAGTCAAAAATACCTATAAAGTCTAAAAGGAGATCATCCACAAGCCTAAATAGCTCAATGGTAAAGTCGCTGACTGCATTTTATGTACATGAGGAACTCCAGTTTACAGGCATCATCAATATGATAAGTAATGCATAGAATGTAGAATGTATAAACATATATATATATATATATATTTATATAAGGAAAGGTAATGAAATAATGTCAGTAAGCACACTTAACATAGGTTAAAACAATTGACATCTTATAATTGTAGACAGCATCATTGTTTAAACTTGTCGAAAACGCGCGTAATATCTGAAGGTTGCGTTACATGTAGTCGATGTGGTGGGCTATTCATAAACGTATAAGAACGGCTTGTAAAACGTTAGTCGGTTTACCGACAACAATGTTTTCATCAATATCATATGCAGAAGGCTGATCGCAGATGTTAGTATCCATTTAAATATGCAAAGAAGTATTATCGAATCACCAGAATGAATGAACCAGAATGACTGTGAACCAATCCATACAAATTATCGAATGAAGCATGCAGGAACAGAATATAACCGTCGAATGAGCCAGTGAGATTCAAACTGCAGCTGTCAGCATATTTTCATTGCTTCTTAGATATCTGGGCTTATTGGCGCTGTATATTTAGTGATTTAGATCAACATGTGGATGAATATCCTGATGTGTACTAGAGCTTGTTTGCCTTGCAGAGTTAGTTAATTACACTTTTTTGTAAGGTTTGATTACTCTACGATTCTGATATATTCCGCAAAGTATCTTCGTGATCTTGGGAAGTGTACGTATGCTTTAAATGCATTACTTTGTTGATGACTCCTATCACCACTGAGAATAAATAACGGGAACTGGGGATTTATATAATTCCCCGCCAATGTGGAATGAACATCATCGCATTCTTATCAAAAAGTAGACCGGTTACTGGATTACAAATAATTGATTCAAATCTTAGAAGGGGCATGAGCTTCTTCCAGGCTGCGGATTCATCCTGCAGACTGGTGAGCGCCAACTAGCGCGAATCTAGGTTGAAGGCTTCCTGCCGACTGCGTCATAATATATAATATATGAACTGCATAACTGTGTGTTTCATCAAGTAAATTTGTTCTGTGATGAAATTATCTTGAACGATTTTTGCAATACAAAAGGTTACGTGATTTTAGAAAATATCTTTTTTTCTGAAAACAGCAAAGTAGGAGTAAGGTGATTGATGTTTTAGGTGAAACAATACAGTTT